CCATGGGCACCTCCAGCTCCGCTTGCTTCATTCTGACTTCCCACTTTTATTTCTAACCCTGTATTTTTTTTTTCCCAATTGCATGTGTTACCTAGCAGGCATGTTTTTGATTGAACAAATGATTCCAGTGTGTGTAAATGATCCGCGAGGATAATATAGCCTAATCTCATAGCAGTAGTGCTCTCTTATTGTGACAAGGATGATTGCTTTTTGTTGGGTTCTGACGTGCCTGTCAGTGCTGATTTTCTTGCTATGGAACACACCAGGATTAACAATTTGTATCCTTTAGAAAAGGGGGATTAAAAGAATCTTATTTTAATTTCTTTCTTATTTTAATCTTATATTTTTTAACTGTCAAAGGAAATTGGCAAGAGATTGCTTTCAATGGTGAGGACCAAATTAGTGGCCTAAGGTGAGAATCATTTGCTTTGTTTTTTGTAGTTAGTTTCCTCCTTCCTCGAATACCCTAAAGGGAGAAAGGGAAACAGGAAGGAGAGGACAACTGGGTTTAGCGATTTCTTGTAGAGTGGTATAATAGCGTTTTCACATTAAACAAGCAGGCATCCAGGGACTGAAAAATAATTATTATATTTCACGGTATTTAATTATAATTTCAGTATTTCTAATGTATTTTTCTGTCATTTCCCTCTATTTCAACCCTTGAAAGAAAATCAGCAAATGCAGGCGCGCAGTGTCACATAATAAAGCATGAGAAAACACAGAAGCTAATAGGGCTCGGGTCTTTGTGGATGGACCACTTTTTTATAATATAATAAATCAAGATTGAAATTCTCATTAGAATAAATTTTTATACTTAGTACTTAATTGTGCCTTAAATATAATTATTTTTTCATACAAAAACACTTGTAATTTAAAAAAAATGTGGAAAATTAATTTTCACTTATTATTGATATGAAAAAGAGGTCATTCATTTGGTTACTCTTTTTTTTTTACTATTAATTACGAGATTAAAAAAAATCAGTGCAATCAACTCATTATATAAGGAATCACCGTAAGTGGGGAGGCGGGAGAAAGTGGGTCGACATGATTGGGAGGAGACCAACAGAGGAACACAAAAACCACTCAGCGAAGAAATTAAAAAGAAGGCAACGCCCTGCTAGGAGTAGTACGTAAAGCTCGAAGTCACCCTTTTCAATCAATCAAACATCGATTCTTTTATTTCCCTTCACTCATATTTCAACCAACATTTCTGGGGCCGCAATGTCGCCACTTGTATTTAGAGTCCACAGGAGGTCAGGCCTTTATTAGGTGATTTACAGACTAGCCGGCTTGCTTGTAAATTAGTCAAGTTTATAACCGGTTCAAAAGTTATTATATCTAAGGCCAGAAGCCGGATTAAGTATATATTATATTGTATTTAAAATAGATTTTAAGGCTTAAATCTATTTAAAATTTGAAATATGTAGGCTTTATAATTTCGAAGTTTATTAAAGATTATAAAGTTTAAATTAAAGAAGCTTTTTTAAATGTTTACGTATGAAGTAGTTAAGTTTTTAAACAGGCTTTAGCTTAAAATAGACCTATCATAAACTCAAGCTTAAGCTGAGAAAAAAGCTTGTATGTAGGTTCAAGAGGCCTGTAATACATACGTACCCAAATCTGTTTACTCAAAGCTTAGCATAATCTATTTACACTCTTACTTACTTGTATCTCTCCTTCTTAAATCAGCGATTTTCTCATATTAATTAAATTAAAGAAAATATATCTGCACGCACATTATGAATCAATCCCCAGCTTTTTTGAAGCAACATTTTCCCCACCTCCCCTCCACGAGATTAGATTCCATCCATTGAATACAGGCATTTCCTTTCTCTTCTCTCGGGTCTCGGGACGATCCACGTTTATTTCCTTTTTCTTTGCCACGTCAGCCGAAGATTTTGATCGTCTCAATTAATTAAATTTGTTATGGTCGGTCATGTTATGAGCTCCATGCATCTTTATGAAAATTAAGTTAATTTGTTGGCCAAAAAGATAAAAATTAAGTTAATCTGCACTTACTCTTCTTGAGAACCCGAGCAGTCAGAAGAAAACATGAATTCGAAGCCTGCTTGGTGATAACTTTAGGCAATAATAAATGATATTTCGATTATTTTAATGAGAACTTGTTTCCGTGAGTTGGGATCAGTAATATGAACTGAATTAGTTAGTAAGGGAGCCACATGGGTTGAACTAATGGATATGTTATAAATTAAAAGCAAATTAAATATTACTGATTTAATTAGACCCACATGCAAGGCACATCATTGCGGACAAATAATTACTTTTTCTAGTTAATTATATTTGTTTTATGTATACCTAATTCGCCATTAAATCAAGCGTTGCCACTAATCCCGTCACTGTCAAGTGCGGATACTCTTGGAAATTTGATTTCATAGGGTTAACAAAACAAAAATCCAACTTAAATCTGCCCTCATGAGAATGGTGATGTCAGGGTAGAACAGTCAAGAACCTAATTATGATCAAAATTTTTAAAATATGAATAATTCAGGGAATGGGAAAAATTGAAAGAAAAATATTGTTCGATAAACTGAGAGAATTTGGTTCAACTGATTAAAAAAGTTAAGCTCATTTATCTTAAGATTTCAAGTAGGGACGGATCTAAAGAGGCATGTAAGGGTGCTTTACCCCCTATAATTTTCACATTTCTTTAGAAATTATTTAATTTTTTATAAAAATCATTAAAGTTGATTCTTGCCCCCATATTTCACCTTATTTAAAATTTTGCCTCCCACATTTCTCACTCTGAGTCTGTCCATAATCTTGAATTCAAGTCTTAAAATGTATAATTATATTAAATAAATATTTCAAACACACCTGAGATGTTGTTGTCGATAATAACTATCTCACTCAGCAAGAGTTTGAATTGATTTAAATGAGATGTGACAATATTTTCAGACTTTTTAGAACACGAATGGAATAAAAAGAAAAAGAAAGAAAGAAAGAAAGAAAGTATTGCTTGATCAAGTCCACGTTGATAATTCCATGATTATATAAAGTAATCGATTGACTGCAGCGAAGTGATGCAAGAGGACTTACTACGCTCAAGGGAAAAAACTATTCATTAGAGATCTATAATTGGTAAAACGCTGATTTAAACAGAAAGAATGCAAATTTGGATAACAAACATTGATTTAACTTGCATTAAACAAAAAGCCTTTTGCTTTTTTTTGGTGGGGTTTGGGAACTAATGAAGCACTGGTTAACCTTAGAAAGTTGACCTGGAATTTGACGAGCAAGTACACCAGCGTGCCCCATCGAAAGCATGTTCACGGGCCGCTCCATGCTAATATATATTTTTATTTTTTATAGCAATATTTTTCTTTTCTATTATTTCTGTTAAAACTCTAGTACATTACTAGTATAATTCATTTTTTAAAAAATATTAATAAACTCGACCGCAACATGTAATTTTTCCAAAATCTTCTCTAATATTGTTACGGCAGGTGATGAGAGAATAATATAACTTTTCAAGTTGTGTTGTAAAGTTTCAAAATACTGCTCACGGTTTTGACAGAAAAATTCTCACAGTAGAATTCTCAAAAATTGTTAATTACTGTTTTATAATTTTATTCTCATTGATTATTATTTTACTGCGAGAAGAGAGAGTATGTGAAATAATAGTACAATTATTAACGTAGAGATATTTTAGTAAAATATTTTATTTCGATGCAATAAAAGCTATTTAATTTCATAGTTCCTTTTTACATTGTGTGTATTATCTGCGTCCGCATTCTATGTTCATTACTGCCCTTGGCCCTTCATTTTGGCCTAAAACGATATCTTCCGTTTATTTAAATTAATTTTTTTAAATATTTTTAATATTATATTTAGTAAAATAAGAATATAAAAAATTTTAATATTAAATCTGAACTATTTAAAATACATTTAAATGATTTATTTGTAAAATTTATAATTTTTTAGTACTAAATTAGGTTATGCAAATTATATTTGAACTATCCAGAGTTTATCTATATTCAAATTATAAAATTATACTTTCTTTATTTAAAAAATATAAGGCATTTTTTGAAGAGTTAGATGTTAAAAATGTAACATATTTTTAGTCTTTTGAAGTGTAATTATTGTTTTTTTTTCAAAAGTGCCCTTAATGACTTTATATTTATTGTAGGGTGTTTAGTAGGAGTAAATATGAAAAGATAGGGTTAGTTGAGAAGTAAGTAACTACTTTATTGGTGATGAGATTCGATTAAAAATATTTTATATTTTTGAATGGAGGGAGTAAAATTTTTTAATATTAAGTTGAACTGTTTTGATTAAATCTGCATCAAGCAGATGTAATCAACAGATTTATTAAAAAATTTTATATTTTTTATAAATTTTATTTTAATAAATATAATATTAAAAAATTAAAAAATTAATTTTAAATGAATGGTAAAGAACAAAATTACTCTATGAATACCGAATGCAAGTGCGGATTATCTTGAACATTCAATACTTTTGATGCACCTGGAGCGCAGTTTATAGTTTTCTTCTTGGCTGAAGCAATTAATAACTCCCGCAACATTAATTTTAATAAATAAAGATTAACGTGAGTTCAATCAATGACTGAAAGAATCCTAAATAGGTCCCGAAATAAGAAAATTATTTATTTTTACATGTGAATATAAGAGGATGGCATGTTAATGCCAGAAATTGATATGCAAATTGGATATTAAAAATAATTTTTATTAAGAACCTATTTATAATTATAATCCTCTCTTTATTTTTCCACCCAAGTTGGAGTCTATTTCACTTTTTTTTTTCTTAAAGTTTCTAGGAGTCAATCCAATTTTTTGTCACAGAACGTGAGTTAATTTGGTCTAATAAGGGTAGTTAACTAATATAACTAATTAATTGGCAAAAAAATAAAATAACTGTTTGAACAGTACTAGTATTACAGAACGCCTTCACGTGGCACTAATTAAAACTCTAAATAAGAGGCACAACAAAAGCAAGGACATGCCAACTAATCTTACTATCGTTGGAGTTATTACTTGTTAATTAAAACTGGCGACGAATTGATTATCGCTCGAGCCGAGGATATTAATGGAATTCCAGCAATAAAAATGGCTCTTTTGGTAACTCATGCGGGAATAAGATCCGCGCCTTGTCGCCCTGTCATTATCGGAGAGATTGTGATAGCGATTTTCAGTTTTTCAATTTCCTCCTCCCCTCCCCCCTCCTCTACTCTGCTCCAATCTTCTGATTCTTGAACTTAGAGAGAGAGAGAGAGAGAGAGTTCAAGGGAAGCAAGAGTGTGAGAAAGACCCAGGTGAGAAAAATGATTCAGTTTGCATACTAGTGGGAAATTTGGCAGATTCATAAAAAAAGTGAGAAACTAAAGAAAGATGGATCTTTTTTTAGTCTTGAGCAGTCAGTGAAAAAAATAATAATAATAAAGAAAGAGACACAGTATGTTTTGCTTATTTTTGAACCCGTTTCTTTGAATCTTGGGAGTTTCCAAGTTGAATTTGAGCTCTGAAAATGGCTGATTTCTAAGCGGAGGCAGTGTTGGTGTGAATGCATTAGTATATTGCAAAGAAGGCGCCGCAGAGAGAGAGGGGGGACGAGACGTCAAAGGAGAGAGAGTTTGACGCATTTGTGAGAGAGAGAGAGAGAGAGAGGAAGAGTAGGCCGCTGCTATACTGGTTTTGTGTAGGAGGGAGACGAGAGCGTATCACATAAAATCCTAAAAATTCGATTTAGTTTCCTTATCAGCTTAAAATAAAGCAGGAAACAGGAAAGCATAGCATAAAAGCGCATAAAAAATTCTGCTTGTACAGCGAGGGAGCCTCAGATCAGGACGAACCAAACTGGTTCATATTGTTCATTGTACCCTCACCTCCTCTTTTCTTTACAGGTAAAAACATTGTTTCTCTCAACGTCTCTCTCTCTCTGTTTGTGGCTTGAGTGAGTGCTTGGCTGGGGTGTGTGTTTTTGAGGCCAATCTATGGTTTTGATTATTATATGGAAGAAAGAGGGTGAACGTGGTTGTTCTTTGTATTTGAGCCAACCAAGGCCATTTTCACGCTTGCACAGCATGATTAGTGTTCTCCCTAGTATTTTAATTGACCCTTTACACTCATAAAGTCTAACAACAAGCCAATATCTGGGTATAGGTGGCTCTTTGAAAACTGAGCTGTTTTCCATCTTTTGAGACCCATGCTTGTCTCTCTGAGCTTTGAGAATTTCTTTCTTTTAAATTGGGGTCTCTCCTCTGAGATGTCTTTCTTTACTTTCTTTGCCAATATTGAAATGTGCTTAGCTTCATAGGAAAGGGTGAGAAACAGAGAGTCAGAATAATTTGTGGAAATCCTCCATCATGCTTGGTGTGCTTGTGCTTCTCCTTTGTTAGGTTTGAATCACGCACTTCAATGCTGTAATGATGCTTTACTTTGCGTTCTGGTCCGTAACCCCCCCCCCCAAAAAAAAAAAACCATCAGAGAAAAGTGTATGAGATTTTTCCAGTATTATGAAAACTTTGCTCCTATAAAAGCACTCACTGGTTTTGTTGGTCCTTCTTTAACCGTAGAGATGAAGAGGACAAGAGGGGAAGAAGTACACTAAGCATCGAAGGTCTGTAGCTGATGGGTATCAAGATGCAGAGCCAGCACCAGCATCACCCTGTGGCTTTGAGGTTCCATGAGCAAACGGGGAGTAAAAGAAAATACACTTTCATTCAGGCTAAAAGAGCTTGGCTCCCAAAGTTTCTGCTGCTGTGGATCATGCTGATGATGCTATTCAGCGGGTCTATCTACAATGGTATGGATGCTGATAATAAAGTTAGGAGGAGAGAGGTTCTGGGTAGCCTCTGTGAGCAAAGGGCTAGGATGTTGCAAGATCAATTTAGTGTTAGTGTTAACCATGTCCATGCCCTGGCTATTCTGGTTTCAACCTTTCACTACTACAGAAACCCATCTGCAATCGATCAGGTCTGTGCTTGATCTAGAATAAAGAAGCGATTAATTTAAGGCACAAATCTGTTCATGGTTGAAGGTACTTGATTATTTTATGTTTCCTATTGTTGCTTACTTCTCATTGCCAAAAAAATATCAGGAAACCTTTGCAGAGTATACTGCCAGAACAGCATTTGAGCGGCCATTACTGAATGGGGTGGCCTATGCACAAGCGGTAGTTGACTCTGAAAGAGAAAACTTTGAGAGGCAACACGGATGGGTGATAAAGACTATGGAAAGAGAGCCTTCCCTAGTTCGAGATGAGTATGCACCTGTGATATTTGCCCAAGAAACTATCTCCTATCTTAAGTCTCTTGATATGATGTCAGGGGAGGTAAACTACAACATCCTTTAGGTGTCGATATATCTCCTGATTTTGTGTTCTATACCCTTTGAAAACTGATTTGGCATGTTGCAGGAGGACCGAGAGAACATTTTGAGGGCTAGGGCCACTGGGAAAGCTGTACTGACTAGCCCATTCAGGCTGTTGGGTTCTCATCATCTTGGTGTGGTGTTGACGTTCCCTGTTTACAAGTCCAAGCTCTCCCCGGAGCCAACTATGAAAGAACGTATAGAGGCAACTGCAGGGTAAGTCATCATATCACTATGCATATGTGTTTGGGTTTTTTCAGAGACACAAATAAAATGAGCCAGCAAATAAACTCTGCCATTGATGTAATGATGCGTATGCAAGCAGGTTAGTGTTATATGGCTGGTTAAAACCCTATGTTGCTACCATTAACATTGCATAGTTCCTCTGTCACCTTGTCTAGGTGTAAGGGTCAACATAGGGATGGGTTATCAGTATTGTTCACATGCAATATGTTTGATAATTATATGATGTCAAGTGTCAGTACTTGCTAAAACACACTATAACAACTATAGCCATCGTATCACTTGGAATTCTACTTACGAACAAAACCTGTGAGAAGTATTGTAACTTCTATAACCCACTAAATTATGTTGCTACTCTCATTGCAATTTCCCATACCAATGTCTACAAAATTCGATTGATAGCAGATACATAATCATAGTGCATTAGCCTTGGTTTATGAGTTAGCTTTCTGTTTACTGTAAGCTTATGATGACATAATCTATAGATGAATTTTTAATTTCGAGCAGATATGTTGGAGGGTCCTTTGATGTTGAATCCCTTGTGGAGAATTTACTTGGGCAGCTTGCTGGTAACCAAGCAATTTTGGTGCATGTGTATGATATCACAAACTCCACTAACCCACTAATCATGTATGGCAACCAGTATGAAGAAGGTGACACGTCTCTTGTACATAAAAGTAAGCTTGATTTTGGAGATCCTTACAGGAAACATCAGATGATATGTAGGTAGGTGTATCTGTCCTTAGATAATCTTTTGTAATTTTAAGTGTCTTTATTTATTTATTTTTTTTTTTGGGATAACATAATCTTTGGTCTTTATATTTTTATTGGGTTTTGCTTTTAGTACCTGTAGGTTTTTTTTTCCAATGTTTTCAGTCCCTATAGAAACTAAAACCACTGAAAAAAGGAAACTATAGGGACCTGGACAACAAAGGTCACATAATCTTTCTGAAACTATAAGGACTGAATACATTGGGAAAAAAATTATAGGGACTAAAAACAAAATTGGATAAAATTATAAGGACCAAAGATTGTGTCCCGCCCCCTTTTTTTTACAATCAGCATATGCTTATCATTGTATTGTTGAACAGGTATCATCAGAAGGCACCAACATCTTGGACAGCGCTTACCACTGCATTTTTATTCTTTGTGATTGGTTTATTAGTGGGATACATTTTATATGGTGCTGCAATTCATATTGTCAAAGTCGAGGATGATTTCCATGAAATGCAGGAACTAAAAGTTCGAGCGGAAGCTGCTGATGTCGCCAAATCCCAGGTAGTATTCCTGGCATTTCATTAGCATGGTTCATAATGATTTCCAAGGATTATTTTGTGGTTTCAATATCTGACTTTTTTTTTTTTTAATTTCAGTTTTTAGCAACTGTTTCTCATGAAATTAGAACGCCAATGAATGGCATCCTAGGTGACTTCAAGAGTTCTCTTATCTCTCTATATTATAAAGTAGCCTGCAGTTCTATTACCTGCACTTTCTCATTAGTGGTGTACTTTTTAAACTTTGTAATCTTGTGTAGGAATGCTTGCTTTGCTTCTAGATACGGAATTGAGTTCAACTCAACGAGATTATGCTCAGACTGCTCAAGCATGCGGAAAAGCACTGATAGCTTTAATAAATGAGGTGCTTGACCGAGCTAAAATTGAAGCTCGCAAGTTAGAGCTAGAAGCAGTTCCATTTGACCTGCGTTCCATACTTGATGATGTCCTTTCTTTATTCTCTGAGAAGTCTAGACACAAAGGTTTAGAGGTATGTCATATTGTTGCTGACTTAGTGATTAGTGTGGTGGCTTGAAGATCATATTTTTCATTGTCCAAGTTGCATAATTTTATTATTATATTTCCTTTTTCTTCAGTCAACTTACAATCTTACATTGTTTTTGCTTCTTTGTTCATCTTTCTGTGTCTGATGTCACTGTATGCTGTCGTTCCTGATGCATGCCCAATCTTCAATTCTCCAACCTTATATTTTTGATTGGGGAAATAAAGTTGGCAGTCTTTGTTTCTGATAAAGTTCCAGACATTGTTATGGGAGATCCAGGGAGATTCCGACAAATAATAACCAATCTAGTTGGCAACTCTGTCAAAGTAAGCCAGTTTTTGAAGTTCATTTGTCTGACACTCTGCATTTAAATTTATATTTACTTATTTGAAGCTGTGTGGAGGAAATATCTTTGAAACTATCTAAAACCTTAGCTCAAACCATTAACAAAGCAACCCTCCACACTCTTGCAATAGTCCTGCAACTGTGTTTAAACTCTCTCTCTCTCTCTCTCTCTATCTATGCAGCCATTACTGTGTTTGCAAATTTCAAGGCACTTCTTGATAATAAATCTAACCTAACCTAAGAATTTTGCAGTTCACTGATCGAGGGCACATATTTGTAAAGGTTCATCTTGCTGAAAATATGAATGCTACAATGAATGGAAAATCTGAGACATACCTAAATGGAGGATCAGATGATGTTGTGCGTATGGCTGGTGGTTATCAGTTCAAAACTCTCAGTGGATGTGAAGCAGCTGATGAAAGGAACTGTTGGGATAATTTTGAGCGTCTAATTGCTGACGAAGAATTTTGCTTTGATGCATCAAGTAAAAAGATGACCGCTATTCAAGTCTCTGAGCAAGTCACTTTGATGGTCTGTGTAGAGGATACTGGCATTGGGATTCCTTTTTCTGCCCAGGATAGGATTTTCATGCCTTTTGTGCAGGCAGACAGCTCAACCTCTCGAAACTATGGTGGGACTGGTATTGGATTAAGCATCAGCAAGTGTTTGGTTGAATTAATGGGAGGTCAAATAAACTTCATAAGCCGACCCCAGGTTGGGAGCACATTTTCCTTCACTGCAGTTTTTGGTACATATAAGAAAAATTCAACCAGTGACGTGAAGAGACATAATGCGGAAGATCTACCTTCTAGTTTTAGAGGACTGACAGCCATAGTGGTTGATGGAAAACCTGTTAGAGCTGCTGTGACTCAGTACCATCTGAAGAGGCTTGGGATACTAGTTAAAGTTGCTAGTAACATTAACAAGGCTGTTGCTTTATGTGGGAAAAATGGTTCATTAACGTCTGGGTAAGTTTACATTTTCCTTTCCTTCAAACTATTTTTTAGGTTGGGTTTTCAACCCCCATGAAACTGAGGACCCTATTTCTTGTTTGAAAACATTTATCTGGTTTTATACCGCACTAGTTTCTGCCAGATTTCTTTATTTATGCATAAACAAAGCTTATGTGGGTTGGTCATGTGTTCCTAAAATATTAAGTGAGCCTATGATTTCTTCTCTCTCTTCTGGTGGTTTTGCAAGTTTTACTGCTCAAGAAACCAAACTTTAATTTGATAATCGTTGTTTTGGTTCTCCTTATTGGTTTTGGGTTATGTTCTGGGACAGACATCTATTTGAAAACAAATCCTGCGAGTTCTTTTTCTTCTTTGGGACACCTATATCTACTATGATTTTGTTATTTTAAATAATGGTTGTCAAATGTTGTTTCACACGATAGAAATGGCTATTGAGGAATAATGTCTAATATTTCAATAATTTGAAGTATACCAGTTGAAGGAGCCATGCAATCAGATTAGTTCTCGATTGGGTCTTGCAATTTTGTTCATTCACTGAGTTAATCTAATTGAATATGGCAGAATGTTCCAGCCAGACATAATTTTGGTTGAGAAGGACTCGTGGATATCTGGAGAAGATGGAAACTTCAATGTTTGGCAACTAGACTGGAAACAGAACGGACATACAATTAAGTTGCCCAAATTGATCCTTCTTGCAACCAACATTAGTAATGCCGAGTTTGATAAAGCTAAGGCTGCTGGTTTTGCTGATACTGTGATCATGAAACCTCTGAGAGCTAGTATGGTAGCTGCTTGTCTTCAGCAGGTTCTTGGTGTGGGGAAGAAGAGACAGCAAGGAAAAGACATGCCTTATGGTTCCACTTTCCTCCGAGGCCTTTTTTGTGGAAAGAAAATTTTGGTGGTTGATGACAATGTGGTGAACCGGAGGGTTGCTGCAGGCGCATTAAAAAAGTTTGGAGCTGACGTGAAGTGTGTCGAAAGTGGCAAAGCAGCACTTGAAATGCTTCAATTGCCTCACAGTTTTGATGCCTGCTTCATGGACATCCAAATGCCAGAAATGGATGGGTACGGATTATGGATGCTTTCATTTAATGGTTTTTTTTTTTTTTTGGGCCAATGCTTGCAGTTTCTGTTTGCGTTTTTATAGTAAGTTACTATTTGAAATTGGTAGCTCTATGATTTTAAACATGGCTATATTATAACAAACAAGTACTCTGTGATTTTTTACCTTTATGTTGAAGCATTAATCCTTAGAGAATCTGTTCTGAAGTGGCAATTGAGAATATGTAGTCCAGTATTCATATTCTCTTATTATAGGATTTAATTAAGCTTTTGACAAGATATCTTGAGTAGGATTACGCTATACCTATATCAGAAAGCTGGAGGTAGGTTTTTCAATTCTGGCCTGAACATCTTATATTGCAAAATACAATCAACCCTAGTCTTGAAAGAATAAATTGTGTGGTGAAGTTTTCACTAAAACGGATCCCCACAATTTAGGCTTCATTATATTAATAATAAAATGGCTAAATCATGGAAATTAGGTATCCCAGTTGAACTTTGATAGGGTAGATAAGCCGTAAAAAGTGATATTGGAATTTGGAGAGACAATTAAGTTATACCATAAAGTCAAGCTGTCAAGCTTCCTAATGGTTTATGTACATTAATTGTAATAAGTTGATATTTCCTCCAATCAATCCTTATGATTAGTAATACAGTGCTTTTGTAACTTGCTGCAGCTCATTTCTTGAAAGCTTCTGTTAGATATGCATGAACATGGTTACATTATCTAAATATTATGAGGTTTGCAGGTTTGAAGCAACACGACGAATCCGGCTGATGGAGAGCAAGGCGAATGAGCAGGCGAATGGTGGATCTAACGAAGGAAATGCCTCAAAAGATGAGTGGCATTTGCCAATATTAGCCATGACGGCTGATGTTATCCATGCTACCTACGATGAGTGTTTGAAATGTGGTATGGATGGATATGTCTCGAAGCCCTTTGAGGAAGAGAATCTCTACCAAGCAGTTGCAAAGTTCTTCAAGTCCAAGCCTATCTCAGAGTTATGACAGCCAGCCATTTCTAAGTTGAACTGAGCAAAAACGAGAAAACAAGTTGAAGACATACCAAGAGTTGAGTTGGCCGCCAGCATTTTCCACAATTTGCCTGCTAGCTGTGCTTCAATGCAGATCATGACACTTGGCGAACCAGCGTGCTTACTACGAAGCGAGTGATGATTTCTAACCAGCATAAGTGGGACATGATTAGAATTGGAGTAAATGTATACCTCATAGCCCTGCATGTTCCCCGCTTGTGTACAGTTTTTCAGGAGGGCATGAGGGGCATGATGTAAATTCCATATACTTCTTGTGCATCACTATATATACTTCTCTTTTTACAAGGGGTTTTTCATTAGTTTTGGCCAGATGGGTTCTTGGATTTGTAGAATTGTCTGTTGCAATATTTATATCACTACGATCCGATGAAATGGTGGTGCCTATGCGTGCATCTTTTGCGGGGACTGAGAATTGAGATCAAGTTGATATACATATCTTGACGCATGCTGATGGCGGGTCATTGATATAAATATAGACGTGAAATAGTTAGTTCCGGTGGTAAGAGTGGGCAGGCAAAGATTAGGGATTCGACTTTTGGACAAACTCTATTTTATAAATTACAAACATTGTGATTTGCTCCCATACTCTTTGATCCACTCTTAGCTCCGTCAAGTGCATTCAATGAAGTAGAGAAACATGATGGTATCACAAGTCATGAACGTTGTTGCATACTGGTTGGGCTTGGGTTGATTAGGACATCTAAACACAGTTTCTTTATTTGGTTTGCGCTCAAGTCCTGTAGTCTTTTTGACGCTGAATCTTTGACCCCATTAACCTCTAAAAAGGATGGGGAAAATTGGTTTTTAAAAAATTTAATAATATTTTTCTTTTTTCCTTTCACTGCCACGCTGAGGTAAGGAAGAATCCTGGAGTTGGTCAGAAAGTGAGATAAGTGTCTGCTAAATGGTCACTCTTTTAATTTAATTTGTTGATCGGATATCTTGAGTCTTGACCAAGGATTCCCTCCCTCCACAGTTTGGATGGACATTTCAAGGGCTTTCTTAATACTACTTTTGTCAATGAATTTATACCATGAGGAAAAGAGGAATATGAGAATAATACAAGTCAACGAATTTAATACAAGTCATTATTAAATAAATTAATAAGAGAGGCAATGGTAACCTAATTCGATCAGGTTCGGCGTCCAAGTCAAGTAACAATTTGGGCCATAAAAAATAACACGCGTTCATGGGTGTCATGCGGTTTTCCAATTTTCTCTTGCAATGTTCAATTGCATTTCAAATTGCATCTTTTAATTATTTATTTTCTACTTTTTAATGGGTTATGTTATCACATCGCTTGAATAATCTGAGATATCATTATGTATCATAATGCATAAAAACTAAATATTAAAACATGTCCTTCCTCTATTAAAAAATATCAAGTATTTTTTGAAAAGTTGGATGTTAAAAAATGTAAGGTATTTTTAATCTTTCAAGGTGTAATCATTGCCTTTTTTTTAAAGTGTCCCTATTAAATAGAAATAAATATAAAATGATAGAATTAGTTTAAAGACAAATAACTAGTTTATTAGAGACAAGATTCGGTTAAATATATCTTATATTTTTTAACGGAGGGAGTAATTCTCTTTCCACCGAAAAAACATGTAATTATCTATTTACAATATATTATCTACTTCTCTGTTTTAAATGGATACGGGCTTTTGAAAAGCCCAGCCCGCTGGTCATAGGCCTTAATGTTAAAACACGTTCGTTGCAGCTCAAATATTGAAACATACAAAGGGAATTTGATAAAGTTAAAATTTTTAACCAAGACTATCAAATATATTTTAAGTAAATAGATGTAACCCAATGAGATTGATCATATTAAAATTGCGGCTTCATTTTTCTTCACCCTTCTTCCCGCCATTTTCGCCGATCACCATTGCCATTTGCATTGCGATGATATTTACAATTTTACATGTCATTGTACGGGACTTCAAGAATCAAGCCATGCGATATTTACAATGCTTCCCATTTCAATGCCATTTTCTTTTGTAATTTTATCAAGATGACTTGAATAAAAGTCGTGCCGAAGAAACACTACTTGAATAAAAGAATTTGCACTGGGCTGCGCAAATACCAAGCCAGATGGGTTAATGCCAAACCCCAAGTCTGGTCTGATTTAATATCAAGCTAAACATAGTAGTCTGTAGTGTGGTCTAGACCTCTGGACTGGTATTAACCCACCCAAAACCGGATTGGATTAGACTTGGGTCCCTGGGTTGCGAGTCAAGCTCATCTTTCATGGGTGCTTATCATTATGATGAGATGTGAAATACTAATATTTTAATTTAAATAGTCCAAATTTAAAGTATTATTTTATTTTATATTCATTAAAATAAAAAATTATAAAATGATTCTAATAATTTTTTTATTTTTAATATGATATAGATTTATTTCAAGGGTCTACTTTAATATTAAAATTTTTATAATTGCTATACATTAATTATTTAGATGTATTTCAAGAATATTTATAACAAATATTCTTACTTTCTAACAAGGCCTTCTTTAGCGCCTCTTTCTCTAATAACTATACTCCTTGCTCTAAAGTCTCCAAGACTTACTGCCTCAATCTCCTTTTTCATTTTAAACTCTTGAACCTTCTCCTACTAGTCCATTATTATTTGCCTTTCCTCTAATGTCGAAGTTCCTTCATCTTTCTTAGCATTCTTTGGAATATCTCATATGGATATTCCATAATTCAAACTATACGTTGAAACTCATAAGCACTGTTCTCTCTTAATACAAGTTTCAACCATCGTTACATCTTATTCTCTATTTAAGCATTAGGAACTTGGCCAGTTTCTCATCATCTTTGTAGATTGAGAAAAGTTTTTTTTATAAAACTATTCTAGGAACATTTCCTAAGTAATTAGGGTATTTCGTGACTAGAGTAACAATTCTCTATTTCTCTACCAAGAGATCTACTTCTATCTCTAGCATATGGATGGCTAATTGGGTTTTATTCTCTTAACTACAGCCCATTATTTAAATAACTTCTATACATTTAAATATTCCATCCTTAGCCTTCTAGATATCAAGCTTGCAATCTTATGTGAGGATTTATATATGTACTTATAGAACTTTATTACTAACTCATCATCTTCACTTCCACTGAGTTGATTAGCTGGTAGTTGCTGGCTCTCATTAGCAGTTACTATGATTACTATTGTTTTTCTTTTTTCTATCACTACCATAATAATAACAACAATGATGCCCTATCCATGTACTACCATTGTTGCTCTATACGCAGGCATATCTACTTTGTAATATTCTAGTCTTTGCAATATCAATCGCAAGAAATATGGGTTTTGCTCATTTTTTTCTTGGTTGACGAAAACTTTCATCTCATTGAGGCTTGTTCTCATCATCATACTCATTGTCATTCTCTTTACAGGCTTATTTACATTATATCATTGGCATGCCTGTTCTCATTTGGCCTATTAGCCTTAATCCTTTGACTTTTGGTTTGAACTATTCTTATTTTGCAAGAGAAACCTTACTAACATCTTTCATTTATGTTGTAAAACTTAGCAGCATTCTGTACTTTTCATTCTCACAAGCAGTACAATCTTAACTTAATATCATCATGACTTTAACTTTTACATTTATCATTCATTATCTTTTTTTTTTTTTGCTGTTTAGCTAAACATCATTATAACTTTAACCACTTATTCATAACTTTAACTTTACTACTTCACTTCGACATTGGCATTCAATACCTCATCTTAATCTTTTCATACAACGTGAGTATACTTAATTCATCATTCATACGAACTAGAAAAACTAAATTGAATTCATCATAACTAAAACATAGGCGCAACTTTAGCTCATCTTTAACATAACTTAAACACATATGTATTAACTACTCATCTCATCCAAATCATGCTCTATCCTCACAAGATGCTTAGCATAATTATTGTCATTATTGTTGACATCATTAATTAGGACTTGGTATAGGGCCCTTAAAGCTTTAGCTTTTCTAACATCTCTCTTCATCAGGTTTTAATAAAGACCCACCACAATTGTCTATGGCTTATAGCCTATCACAAAAAATATCTGGACTACTTTCCAAAATATCCTTTCTAACTTAATCACATCTATTATCAATGAAAGGATACAATAATGATTGGAACTATTTATACTCATAAAATCACATCATACAAGGGCTCTTTTGTTCTAACTACCTAAAGAATAATCTAGTCTTAGTAAGATATCCTGTGAGCAAATCATATAGATTTATATAGTCAGTGTGGGCTAGTATATTTAATTCCATGAATCTATGCTTTAAACCTCTTCCACTTTGTGATCTCAACTCAAGTGACCCTAAGATCTTTGATACTTTACTGGCTATGTATGTGGATCTCTTCCTATTTTTTTTAAATAAGAGCTAAGGAACTCAATTTCCTCTCTAGCTCATTAACATCTAGTACTCTTTTACTTTCCACATCTTTATAGCAAGATCAGTTACATTGTCTTCTCTCAAAAGGAGTTCTCATAATATTAGTTCTTGACAAAGTCCTTATCGAAAATAACTAAAATCTAATGCCTTTAACTCTTGGCATATATTTGACAAAAATCTCAACACCACCTTTAATGAACTTTACTAGCCTTTTTGGTATTAGATCAGACTTCCTAACAATCCTCCTTGTCTTGGGTCTTCCTGTAGAAGAACCTCTCTTATTTATATAACCTCTATCAATTTGTTCTCATAGTCACATGTAACTTATGATACTAGTTTATTCTCATCTCTATAATGAGCTGCAAGAAATAATATTAGTTTCTATACCAAACTTAGAGAACTTTTATAAACATTCAATTCTTTAATAAAGGCCTCTAATATTGTGACTCATTTGAACAAGAGACACTAAACTTTTAACTTTAAGTCATTCTTAAGGTTAGTACTTCTTAATGCTTCTACCTTTTTCTAATCCATTCAAACCAACAATCTTAGCTATTTGCCAGAACCGTGCTCTGGTACCATAAATGATACATCTTACCTTTTATACTCTAAATATGCCATTGAATAGCAGGAGGTTACTAAAAGAGCATTTACAGGCATACGTAATGGAACTCTTTTAAAATAAACTTCTTTCTTATTTGCTCTTTAAAACCATACCCTTCTATTTTTAGATTAATTAAAACTCTTCTTTACCTCTTTTGTAACATGGCATTCATAGGGAAGATAGATGATGCATGCAAAAATATATCATCACAAATGTATAAGTCAATATGTAATATGCTAATGTGTTAAGGTCGCTCCTACGATAAATCAAGCAAAATAGCGATTAGGCAT